GCTGGATGAAGAAATTAAACAAAACACACTGGGCCCTTGCAACTCCACTTTTAATAACCCAACAGATGATCTTCTACAATTATTCTTAGCGAACGAACTCAATCTAAGCAAGGTAAATTAATAATCAATTATCGAGCAGACCCCTTATTATGTCTTAATAACTTACTCAAGCAAGATCAAGACACTGCGGTTGCAATAATTAAACAGTTCACACATTTAAACGCAACACAGCGGCTTATCAGGATCTTTGCGGCGATCGAATGATTATTAATTAAAGATGGCTGGTGAAAAGGCCACAAAAAATTTCATTCACATAAATTACGCGCTAACTTGTTTAAACAGGCACCTGCGCGGTGTAATATAGGTCGCCTAATAGTGGGCGGAAATACGCTCGGCTTTAGTCTCTTCCAGGTTCATGTTCAGGTGGGTGGTTCCGTGACTCCGACAGGTGGGGTGGAAATTGACTTCGCGCTTTTAAACTTTTAAATTTAGGTTTTAAAATGCACTGGACATAATAATCATAATTATGCACTGTATACTTGTTTATAGTTCATAGCGGAGAAACTAGCACGTCTCGCCCGTATGAGCGATGGTACAAAACTGACGTTTTTTTCACACCAATTTTTTAAATTAAAAAAATGTTTAACTAAAAATATTTAATAAATCATAATAAGGAATTATTGTTACTTGCGATTAATACAAGTGCCCCGAAATTAGGGGGCCAAAGTTAAACAGTGCAATCTGCATAGAAAACACTAATTTGTTTTATAGACGTATTTCGAAAAATGCCCCCGGACGCGTCCCAAGAGGATGATTTTTTTCTTTGAACATAAAGAAATAATTTTTGATGCTTAGGTGATTTTAATACGCTGAATCTAGACCTAAAATAAAAACTTCAAACTTTAATCATAGGAGTACCATTTGGGTGGGGAAAAAAATAGCCTCAAGTTTTTTCTGGGTTTCCACTAAAAAAGATACTCTGGATTTTAAAAACATTTAATATGGGTTTTTACTAATATTTTATAAAAATATGAGATGGTTATGTTAAACAGAATATTTTTTCTGAAAAATTGTGCATCTGTGCGATGCAAATTAGGAGTACCTTTTTTAGGAGAAGACCCTAAATTTTATAATTATAATAACGGCTGTGGTTTTGACAGTTTTGTTTTTAGATCTAGGTTCAGCGTGTCAAAATTACCAAAGTATCAAAAATTAATTTCTTTAACCCTTCTCTAACTCTAAAAAAAACCATCCTTTTATTTCTCTCTTCGTCAGGGAGCATTTATCAATACATGTTAATTTAACAAACTATAGATTATTTATTTTATCAATTAACAAGAAAAAACATTTTACGCATGATTCTCAGTACGTTATTAGTCAATCGTATATAAAACTTTCATACTGCACAGGATGAAGGTTTTGTATAGTTTATCCTCATGCTGGAGGAGTGGAAGTAAGCGCGACGCGCATTGAGCCAAGACTAAAGCACAGCCAGATCTAGAGGAGCCAAGGCCGTTAAACCTTAATAGGCCACCAGCCGCAGTTTAACCTCATGCTGGATGATTGCTAAATTGGTAAGATGAATATACTAGTGTTTTTTTATGCAGATTGCACGGTTTAACTTTGGCCCCATAATTTCGGGACACCTTATTAATCGCAAGTAGTCATTAGTAACAATAATTCTTTAAAACGACTTAAATAATTGTGAAAAAAACGTTATGTGGTAAAATTTAATAATAATAATTTCTTTATCGTTTACACCATCCCATTGATTTTTCAGAGTTTTAGAATTCATTATTTTAATTATACGCTATAGAAGTATCGCTAGTAGCGCCACCACTCGGCCGTTATCATCGTGACAAAAGTACAACTTTTAATAATCAGCTGTCAAACGAGTGTTTTTGAGAATAAAGCCGGAAAATGTTAAAAATATCGGAAAAAAAATCGTGGTACGATTTGTTGTGTTGTTGGGTATATTTTTAAAGGAATCCTGTGTTTAGTTTTTACCGGTTTCCCAATAAAAAGTGTTTATCCGAATGAAGAAATAAATTGCATATAGTCCCTGTCAATATAAATTGTACCTATAAGATAAAATAAATACACATTTTAGTAGTGATTAACGTGAAAAGTGTAAACATTTCAATTCGGTAAAAATCGTTAAACAAATAAGTCGTCTAAATTTAAACAGCATTTAGCATTATTAAAAGCGTTGATTAAGAGAGTCTCCACTCAACGGTAAAATACCATAATATTATGAATTATATTTATATATTATGTTGCCGTGAATTCGTAGGTATACTTTGTTGTTTAAAATGCAGTTGTCGGCGTTTTTTAGAGAACTCAAATATAAAAATGGTTGATTTTAAGGTTGTTTGTGCAAAAATTAATTTTTACAAATTTCTTAAAAATGTCAAAACTTAAATATAAATTATATTAGGTAAAGTTATTAATTAATTCTGCACCAACAAATATACTTTGAATTTTAGTTGTTGAATTTTATTTACAATTAAAAACACAATAATTCACCATGATCCCTTAGATAAAATACACACACTAACGTAACTATATATAAGCATTTAAGCGTTGAGTTTCTTAATCAATGATATAAAGAATAATCAATCGAAATCGTGTACTAAAAAAGTTCCTTGCACGTGCGCGATTTAGCTGTGCAATTGAACAAAATTTGTTAAATAAGACTTCTGCCTTCCTCTCTTTTGTGAAAAAACTACCTATTTATTTAAAAATAATGTTCAGTTCGTATGCTTTAAATGTATTGTTGACAATTCTTAAATTCACGCAATGCTATCGAAGTCCACCAGATGGCGCGCGCGTTGCGAAAACCCGATACTTCTTATACAGGGTGTCCGGGAAAAGGAGGTCAATCCGTTAACCATATATTCTTTGAGTTAAAACAATAAGACTTTCATAATACCATTTTTCAATTTAGGCCTTCATGTTCGATATACAGGGCGACAAAGTTTGAAATTAAAAACTGATTTTTTTTTAATAATTCGAGTAATTGATAAGATACTAAGTTTAAATTCGGTACACTACTTCAACATAAATAGTTACATTTTTTGAGACCAACAAAACAAAAAACAATTGTCAAATAATCAAAATAGGGGGGTCCAGTACTCACTGACTCCCCCTATTTTTTAGTACGTGCGCCAATGACTTCCAAACAGAATTTTTTCAGGTAATCATTTATTGTTGAAAATGTTTTGTCTCTTATAAAATTTTGATAAAATGATTTGTTTTAGAGATAATTTGTAAAGTATGGGTCAGTCCATATCAAATTTTCAAAATTTAATTTTTTTTTGAAAAAATGTAGGTCATGTGATATATCATAAAAAAAATCTCTAATAGGCCTTTAAAATAAGCCATCACTCACCTTTCTACTTTTAATAGTTTACGAGATATCGCTATTTTTGTAAGTACTTGCAAGACCCAAATTTATCGGAATTTTTTGATTTTCAAAAATCAATAAAACAAAAACCACCTATCGAAAAAAATTCATATTTGGGATTTTTGAGTTTTTTAGTGAGGTAAACAAATTTACCAAAAATGATCAAAATCGGAGATGGTGGGGGAAGAACCTTTGGTTGATTTGATATGGACTGACCCATGCTTTACAAATTATCTCTAAAACAAATCATTTTATCAAAATTTTATAAGAGACAAATTTTTTTTAACAATAAATGATTACCTAAAAAAATACCGTTTGGAAGTCATTGGCGCACGTACTAAAAAATAGGGGGAATCAGTGAGTACTGGACCCCCCTATTTTGATTATTTAACAATTGTTTTTTGTTTTGTTGGTCTCAAAAAATTTAACTATTTATGTTGAAGTAGTGTACCGAATTTAAACTTAATATCTTATCAATTACTTGAATTATTAAAAAAAAATCAGTTTTAAATTTCAAACTTTGTCGCCCTGTATATCGAACATGAAGCTCTAAATTGAAAAATGGTATTATGGAAGTCTTATTGTTTTAACTCAAGGAATATATGGTTAACGGATTGACCTCCTTTTCCCGGACACCCTGTATAACAAACACGGGATTTAGATGTTAACAAATGTCAAATAAAAAAAGCCTTAAAATCCTTAGTAACGTGTAAACAAGGTAATAAAAATATCGTCGCTGTGATAAAATGCGTAACTATAGAATAGGTACTGGCATTTTATTGGTTCTAATATTAATGAATTACATTGTCAGGACATTATTCCGTAACAAAATTTCACTTCCTGGCATTAGTTTAAACAATATCATTTGCACAATGTGCAGCATGAAAGTCTTACGATTAACCAATAGCCTACAGAACAGGTAACTATCTCGCGCAAAATGTTTAGGGCCTCAAGCCTCAGGTCCTTATTACAAAGGGGTCCTTTTTACACTAAAGGGTAATTTGGGTAAGCTGAATCCAAAAAATTTACCATATTGCTCAATCCGTTCTTGTGTTTGCGATATTGTAAAAAAAACGTTTTTTATTGGACAACATTTTCGAGGTCGTTTGTCAACTATAAAATGCGTGGATGGGATACAGATCGGCAGGGAAATCACCGAACTTAATAGTTTTGTTTGCTCGTTTCTTGTTATTTAGTTTTAGTTAACGACTTAACGAGTGTAGTGCTTTTAATTAAAGACTTTTTTTACATACATAAGAATGTGTGGTATTATGTTTTATTTTTTTTACAAAATATAAAAGTATAAAAAACTTGAGGGCTTTTTTAAGTGGGTGTTTTTGGGTTATCCACTAGGCCGCCAACCATGATGGTTTTGGAATAAGCTGTTTGATATTGTTATTGTTTATGTCCACTAAGTATAATGATTTACATTTATTTATTTGTGGAACAAAATAATATGTACAACTCGTGGTCGATTATAAAATCGCATTCAAGCTACGCTCGCTTCGCTCGCGCATAAAACGAATGCTAATTAAGAATCGATCATTTTCCCTACTCGTTGCACAATATACCTACTATTAATATTGGTACCTACTCCATTTGACTTAAATCCATATCTACTTCTTCACCCGTACAAAGTGGAATTTTTTTCTTTTTATTACGTCTACTTTTGGAATGACAAGTTATATCTGCTTTAACGACGGTATTTTCTATTTGAAGATTATGCTTAAATGTACCGTCCAATTCCTGCAGTGTTACTAATAAGGGTCCTACATATTTTTTAATACCAGTCTGAGAAGTTGAATCTTGTCGAATTTCCAGTTCAATGGTATTTCTAAAATAGAAGTTTTGCCAAATGAATAAATACATAATCAACACAAAATCATGATTTATGATTTAATTTTGTTTATCAGTTTATAATAAGCAAGGTTCAAATTTATTAATTAATTTAATGAACTTGTTGTTTAACATTGTCCGGAAAATGGTACAGTTGACTCCCTTTGGGTAAAATTTTTGAGTATGTAACGAACTCATTTTAATTACTTTAACATACTTACTCTTTCTAATTTGAACTCCCTCTACCTTAAACAGTTAAACATGTCAGATGGAAAATCAATATGTTGACTATAAGTTTTACACATTTAATTTTTAACATGCTCAGCGACGCTTTGTATTTTATGTAAACAAAATAAACAAAGCATCACGAGTTAAAGTTAACATGGTTTTATATTATTTCTATAAATTATTAATATTATAAGAAACTTATAAATAGACATACCCGTATTATCATCCACCATGTTCGTTTTCTTTAACACATCATTGTTTTAAAAAAATCGATTTTATACATAAAATTTGGAAAAAAAATAAAGGGTGGATTTTATAGTAAAAAATAATAATAGTGTTTCCTGTTAGGGGCTCCGAGAAAACTAACTTTAGATCTAAAAATTATATTATATGCTGCTCTGCTGCCAGTTAGACGTGGAGCTCCGTTGCTGCTGATTGTTGTTTATATACCCTCTTAGCTTTCCGCGATGAATCTTTTACGAGAAGAACATTTTGCCCTAAAGAAACTGAAAGAAAACAAGGACATCATCATCCTCCCAGCAGACAAAGGAAACGCTACGGTAGTAATGGAAATCCAAGAATACAATGCTAAAATAGAAACACTACTCAAAGACGGCACATACCAAAACATATCCCCGATCCAACTACGTACCTGGAGAAGACAACCAAGGCCAAGATCAAGGCTAGCCGAATCAACAAGGATGAAAAACAAAGGCTTATTCCAAGAGAAAAGTCGTCAAAGTGCCCAAAGCTATACGGCCTTCCAAAGATACACAAGGAAGATTAGTCTTTTCTTTCTACTTTTTCTTTTTTTGACGTTTTTGACGTTTGCATTGTATTAGCACTAATAAAGATTATTATTATTATTATTATAACACCACTAAGACCTGTCAATAGACTCACCGCTACAAGAGCTCGCAAGATTCCTGGCTAAGCAGCTGCAGCCGTTCGTCGAGGAAGCGGAATCTTACGTAAAAAACGCAAACCACTTCAAGCGAATAAAGGACATAAAACTGGAAAGAGGCGACATGCTCGTCAGCTTCGATGTCGTATCTCTCTAATATTCCAGTCAGCGAAGCCTTGGAGACAATTCAAAGAAAACACCCAATAAGTGATGACATCACAGAGCTAACCAAACTGCCTCAAGAACACGTATTTCATATACAACGACCAGAGATACAAACAAATCGAGGGTGCTCCAATGGGCTCCCCAATATCGCCAGCAATAGCCAACTTATTCATGGAAGACAGAAGTACGAGCAATAGAATCGGCAACACAAAAACCAAAGTTATGGCTACGGTACGTATGTGACACATTTATCATCTGGACCCACGGAGAAGCGAAACTGAAGAAATTCCTGGACCATCTCAACGAAATTCACCCGTCACAACTGCATTCAGTTATTAAGACACTTGTCACGCGATCCGAAAGGCTGGCGGATGATGACCACAAGAAACAAGAAGACCTAAAAATCACAACGACGCTACAAAAAAACGGATTCTCCAAAACCATCATAAAAAAGGCCCTTAGACCACGACGCATGGTTAAATACCACAGAGGACGAGAACAACAAACCAACTTCGAAGGCCTTTCTTCCTTACGTCAAAGGGACAACCGAAAGAATAGGCAAAGTTCTTAAAAAACATAACATTGAGACCACATTTACCGTACCAAGAAAGATAGGTCAAATACTTCCAAACGCCAAACCAAAAATAAAGTTGGAGGCACAAGGGGTTTACGAAATTCCTTGTAAGAATTGTGACGGAAGCTACGTGGGACAGACCAATAGACGCGAAGAACATCGTAAAGCAGTCTTAAAACAAGAAAAAACATCTTCCTTAGCTGAACACATCTGAAAAACTTGACTTTGAAAAAATAAGGGTCTTGGCTAGCATCGAACAGAGGACCAAACGTACCATCCGTGAAGCCATTGAAATAGAAAAACGTCCAAGAAACCTCAACACAAAAGACGATACGCAGAGACTACAAACTGCATGGAAACCAGCTCTTACAACCACCAAAACGCCACGCAGATTAACGAGTCAATCGCAGTCGCGGTTAATGATGCGGAAAGCTAAGAGGGTATATAAACCACGATCAGCGGCAACGGCAGCCCAGCAGATAAGACCTTAAGATGGTACATGAGATTGTACTGAAACGTCGTCAGACATACGGTTCTTTTAAGAACCAAAAACCGACGTTTGTTATTATGTGACCCTTATATTATAAATTATTGACAAATGTTAAAATATAGTTTTATTTATGTGTATACTTTTATAAAAATGTATATTTTCACAGAGAGTGGCTAGTTACCTGGAAGTGAATAGGCCGTAAACTCTGAAATTGATAAACTTAATGGGTTTTATTCTAAAAAACTAAAAGAGTCTATTGTGAGAGATGACTACCGAAAACTTATTGAACTGTCTGAAATATTTTTGGGAGGACATCAAGAAAAGAAATGCTTATAAAAAGCTGAAATTTCATATAACAGTATATTTTAGCAATACTAATTAGTATATTAATATATTTAAGGGATAAAATCAACTAATTTTTTTTTTGGTTATTTTTTAATGATCATTCAGATATATTAAAAAAACGAATTTCGGGTAATTAGTTTTACGGCCTATTCACCCGACACTTCCGGGTAACTAGCCACTTCCTGTAAAAATATTTATTTTTATTAAAGTATACACATAAATAAAACTATATTTTAACATTTTTTAATAATTTATAATATAAGGGTCACATAATAACAAACACAAAATGATTTACGATCGAAGACCTAGCGGCCAACCGTGTTACAAAATACCGCGCGCCTAACGTTGGCTAATGGAGGGTTCAGATGCAAGTCGGCAAGGGTTCCCGTTTATAGAATGAGCTGAAATTTTTACTGGGATTATATAAACAAGTAATAAATATAATTAGAGGGTATGCGTAAAAAAATAAATATAAGGGACACCCTAATATATATATATATATATATATATATATATATATATACAGTGCTTGCAAATCCAAGTCCGACCGTTTAGGGAAGGACGCGTGAAAATAACAAGGATGGAACACCAAATAAAAGGCGCTTACAATACGCACGCCTGACGCTCTGACCAATCAAATTCTGTTTGGCATTCTATCCTTATTCTTTTCACGTGGGTATTGAACAACCATCCTTTCCAACGCGGTCGGATTTGGATTTGCAAGCACTGTATATATATATATATATATATATATATTTATACAGTGTGACCCATTTGTTTGCGACTCACTCCTGTAAAATCTTTATTTATTGTGCGATTTTATCCAGATTTGTTTTAAAGTTTAGATCTTGATAAACTGTATTTTTGGAGAAAAAACGCCTTATTTGTAACGGGTGATTCATTTAGACCTTTTTACTAAATTCTAAATTAAACGCATAAAATGAAATTGGATGGCAAAATCTTTATTATGATCTGAGAGAACAATCTTTTTTTTGAAAATAATTTCATTTAAATGCTGGCCGCGACTACGCGGTCTATTCGGAAGGTCCAATTTTCGAGCACTCTAGCATTGCGACCGGTATCTGCCCAATTACGCGAGTAATGTTGGCTTCTAAGTCTTGAATCGTAGCTGGCTTATCGACGAAGACTTTTGATTTAACATGACCCCAGAAAAAAGTCCAAGGGTGTGATAATACACGATCTAGGTGGCCAATTGACAGATCCAAAACGCGAAATTATCTGCTCACCAAAATGATTTCTCAATAAAGCTATTGTTTCGTGCGCTGTGTTTGCCGTCGCGGCCAACATTTAAATGAAATTATTTAAAAAAAAATAAATGTCAAAGATTATTCTTTCAGGTCATAATAAAGATTCAACCCCATCCAATTCCATTAGTAGTAAATGTTTAGGATTTCATATTAGCGATTTTTTTAAACCAAATTTAAGCAGGGCACTGGGTTCAAAACGACCAATACTAAAATTTATTGAAATATTTTAATTAGAAAAATGCACAATAATAACAACACAAATTTATTCTGTTAAGTTATCCATGAAAAAACATTGAAATAAAATTAAACTTATAGTAATAGTACCATGTTACTATTAGTTTGTTTTTTTCATGGATAATATGACAAAATAAATGTTTGCTGTTGTTATTGTGTATATTTCTACTTAAAATAAAATTTAGCCACACTACAGAGTGTCTTAAACTTATGGTAAAAAACTTATTTTTACCTGTATATTATAAACGTACTATGCTCCACACCTCCCACCACGTGACCACGTACGGAACGCAGTCTTTTGAAAATTTGACATTTAAGGCATTTTAGGTTATGTATCTGTCAAAGTATAGTCAATGAAAGAAATAATATTTATAGTGTTACCGCTTATGTTTAGGCGTTAAAAGTTAATACATCTTTATAGTATCACAATAACAATGGATAAGAATTTAGGAATATAAATACTGCATTTAATGAAATTCTAAAGTGTATTGATATTTTTTTGCATTGGGTGTGCATTTCTCCATAAAATAATAGTATTAACTAAACCATAGATGACCGCATTTATTAAAAAAAAACTTCTCTATTATGGAATAAGAATATCTGTATCAAAGGCATATACCTATAACTTATAGGTATATGATCAAAGGTAGGTTAATGTATTAGAACAAAAAATATCATCTAATTTTTAGTGTTGGGATCACTCGAGTTAAAAATAACCTATTACCCGGTTATTGAAATAACCTAAATTATTCGGTTATGAGTTTCGGATCCAAGTGATGAATAACCGGTT